TGTGTGTGTGTGTGTGTGTGTGTGTTTACCCCAGAGCTCACTTAAGAACTCTGCCAGGAGAAAAAAGCGAACATCATTTAAACGAAGGACAAGCAAGAAGGGACTGGATGTAAGTAGCACTATGAGACTGAACGTTAGTGTTTTTAAGTGTATATACCGGGTTCAGATTTATGTTTTCCTCTCATCTGAGCAGATTTATACGCTCTACTTACCTACTGAACATGTGCGTAAATGTTTTTATGACCATGTATTGTGACCACATGGATCAATGAACAGCAATGAAAACTGAATTTTCTGCCCTTTGTAAATCAGCTAATCGATTAGTCGCCTAATCATTTCATCATTATCTTTCACATACTTTGTTTGTTTTTCCACCTTTTGCACATCTCTCTTTGTAACTTTGTCTCTTTCTGTCTTCAGGAGTCTAAATGGCGTCCGTTCATGTTGAAGCCTCTTCCTTCACCTCTCATGAAGCCCATCTTGGTTTTTGTCAATCCCAAGAGTGGAGGCAACCAGGTCAGCAAACCCTGAAATGTTTTATTTTTGTCTGTTTGAGACTCCTTCAAGCTCACCATCAGTGAGGATTTATGAAGATACTGGTATCATATGAAATTGTTCCTCCTGGAGGATCTTCCAATACGGTTCGTCAAGTAGTTGTAGGACAACCCTGACTGTAAATGTCTCTCTGTAGGGTGCCAAGGTGTTACAGATGTTAATGTGGATCTTGAACCCTCGACAAGTCTTCGACCTGTCACAGGGGGGGCTGCGAGAGGCGTAAGTACCCTTCAGTTGGGAGCAAAACATTTCACGAGTGTGTAAAGAATGCAAATATAGAGAAACAGCCAATTTAGTTTTCTACTTAAACCGTCATTATCTACTGCCGGGGTGAAGGGGCTGTATCTTCTCACTTCAGCGTTAGTCATTATCCTCTTTTATTCAAATACTCTGCTCACGGGTCGAGCAACTTTCACAAAGCTTGCACCAATTACACCCACTCAACACAATCAGTCTTTGTTATGTTGTATTCGACAACCTCTCTCTGCTTTGTGTGTGAAATTGTCAGGTTGGAGTTGTATCGTAAAGTGCCAAATCTGAGGATCCTTGCCTGCGGAGGGGACGGCACGGTAAGACTCTGTTCTATTGTGATGTATTTCTATACATTCTATTGTGAATCTCTGCAGCCTATAACCTCCTGTGCTCGTCTTTCTGTAGGTGGGCTGGATCCTGTCCACTCTGGATGAGCTGCAGATGAACCCCCAGCCTCCGGTGGCTGTTCTTCCTCTGGGAACAGGAAATGACCTCGCCAGGACACTCAACTGGGGTGGGGTGAGTTGTAGCCTTGACTTGTGAGCGGGAGGACGTCGCAGCTACTCCCCCTGTAGCTGTTCAGTCATTTAAGTGTGTTTGATGTCTTTGAGTTCAGGTTGATTAAAACAAGTTCTCTCTGCAGAGTTGTTGAAATTAAATGAAGATAAAACAATGCCAGCACTTCCAACACACTCAATAAGTTGAAAAGGAATATCTAATATTTGTCTCTCAGACACTTCTGGGAGCGACAGAAAAACTCACATTCCAGGAAGTCTACGACACGCTCTTCCTGCGCAACTCTTCCTCTAAAGCCCGCCATTCAGCCATCGTCTGACCTCTCCGAGGCACAGCACGTCACACAACGATGACACGGCCGTTGTTGACACTTCCCTTTAATTGATTCTATGACGAGTGTAACATTTTCTCTTTCTTTATGCAGTAGAACCACATTCGTGTAACCTACGATCACAGCAGCAACAACACGTTCCTGTTTAATTGTACACAGGTTTTGGTGTGTAGAACTAAGTTGCAGAGTGTTTTAGAGTGTTCCTTATGGTGCAACAAAGAAGAAGAGACTTTTTAAAAGCACCCACATTCTTTCATTAGGCTTGTCTTTGGTCCAGTGAGGTGGGATTGTATCGACGATAATCCATCAAATAAAACTCTGCATGAGACCCGTGAATGACTGACAGGATTCATGGAGCACAAAGCAGAAGAAAGTCCTGAAACGGAGAGAGAGATGAACATTCATATCTACTTTGTGGTTAATTAGTGTGTCCTTTCTGTCCTCTACTGGCTGCAGCGTTTATATTTTTATCCACTTTGTCTCTTTCCTTTCCTCGTTCTTTTCTTTCTCCTTTCCCTTCAATTCCTTTCCTTTGCTTCCTTCTCCTTACTTTTTCTCTCCTTTCCTTTGCTTCCATCTTCCTCCCTTTCCTTCCCCTTTCTTTCCTCTGCGTTCCATTGCATCCTTCTCCTTCCAATTCCCTTCCATTCAAATCCTTACCTCTCCTATCCGTTGCTTCCTTCTCCTTCCATCTCCTCTCCTACCTTTCAGTTCCTTTCCTCTTTTTTTTTTTTGCTTCCTTCACTTCCCACCTTCTTCCTGCCATTTTTCCTTCCCTCTCCTTTCCTTTTCTCTTCTCCTTCTGACACTCAGTTGTGTTACTCACCATTGCACCTGCCCCACCTCTCTCTGTGTGAGTGTGAATAACCCTGTGACTCAGTGTGTGTGTGTGTGTGTGTGTGTCTGTGCGTGTGTGTGAGACACTCACTGCAGTCCTTGGTACACTGATTTCCTGACCCTGTCCGGACAGAAAATGAAAAGCAGACGACACACAGAGACGGAGGACGGAGAGAATAATGAAAGAAAGACAAAACAGCGTCCATTAGAGAGACCTGGCTTGAATGGCAAAGGTGGACTAGAGAGATGGATTGATGGTGGGATGAAAGGGAGGAGTAAGGTGTGTGTTATCTGTAAAGTCCACTCATTTATGCATGAGGTCTGGTGTGAGTATCTGTGCTCTTGTGCCAGTGAAGCCGCCTCAGTGACCACTTGTTGAGAGCCAATGCTCACATGCTCTCTCTCTGTCTATTCTTCTCTTTCTTTCCCTCCCTTCATGTGTTCACGTGTGTGTTCTTGTTATCAAATAGATAACGGGAAGAGAGACCTCGGTGGTTCGACAGATAAAAAGAGGGATAGAGAGGAAATCATCCTTTCATCTCCCTTTACCTTCTCTTCCCGTCCTTCTCTCTGCTCTCCCTCTCCTCACTTTCTTCCTTTTCTTCCTCTTTTCTCTTTACTCGTTCTTCCTCTTCCTTTCCCTTTTGGTCTTCCATTGTTTTTCCTGAATTTATAAGAGTAATTCTATTGACAAGACTCAATTTAATGACTTATCTGAATTTGTTAGTTACTTGATACGAGCGTCCCCTTCCGACCGTTAAAACCGCTGTCGGCACAACAATCTCCCCTCAAGGTCCTCTTACTGTCGTAGCTGTTCTGGAGCTTTTGATGGGATCACACGATCTTCCTCTGCAGATGAAGTTATTACAGATGTTCCTCTGAGCACTTGAAGGACTTGAAGTTGGGATTGAAAGGTCATTCTTGACCCGTGGAAACAGACAAAACAAATCTCACCACAAGGTCCATTTAGTAGCAGCTGGTCTGGAGCGTTCGGTCATTTCACATCTACTACTAGCTACTAAAATGATCATCTGCATTGGACACCTTGGCTCGACGCTTTAACTCTATATGTTATTTAATGTAAATTCACTCCTCTTCTGTCTCTCTCTCTCTCTGTCTATATTTTGTCTGAAGGGTTACACAGACGAGCCGGTGTCCAAGGTTCTGTGTCACGTGGAGGACGGTTCGGTGGTGCAGCTGGACAGGTGGAACCTCCTGGTAGAGAAAGGTGCTGCGCAGCCGGAGGAGGGAACACAGAAGGTCAGCTGGGTGGTCAGGGTGTGTGTGTGTGTGTGTGTGTGTGTGTGTAATTCGAGGGTTAAGACTTGGTTACAATAAGTTAAAGCCACTATGTGCAGAACTTTTAGCATCTTTCAAGAGATAGGGGGCCTAAAATCCGTATCAGTTCAAATGTACGCTATATGAACAATATTTTCAGACAACACTTTTTGACAGGGAGCCGAAGCCGTTATATCCATCTACGCCCTCTTCAAAGCCACAGGAGTCCTTCGACAAAAACAGTAATTGTACCTTGCAGAACTGTTTTAATACACGGCTTTGAAGAGAGCGTAGATGATATCTTAGTTCCCCGTCGGAAAGGACTTTCTGACAACAAGGTAAGTCAGTGTAAATATTGTAAATATAGCGTACACTTAAACAGAGTTTTTAGGTGTCTAAAATACGTCCACAGCAGTATATTGCTCTGCTCCCGTGCTGGTCCTCCTGTCTCTGACTGTGGATAAGTACCTCATACAACCCCACTTAAAAAAGATGAGTCGTCTAATTGTGTAATATTTATGCAAACATGCTCACTTAAATACGTCGTCCTTTGTCCTCAGCTGCCTCTGAATGTGTTCAACAACTACTTCAGCCTGGGCTTCGATGCTCACGTCACCCTGGAGTTCCACGAATCCAGAGGTCGGTGAAATCTTAATCGCTTTTCTTCACCCCACATTTCATCCTGCATTAACTCTATTTATATTCCATTAAGTCCTTCTCTTTCCTGTTAATGCATCGCACTCCACTGAAAGAGGAGCAGAATGAAATAAAACTTTAAAAAGGACGCGTTCATGCGCGCACGAATGAGTCCGAAGTCTTCCTCTACCTACGCCTCTGTGTTTGCAACACATTTAATGTGTTCTCCTTCTCTGCCTCTCTCATTGTGTCTTTGCAGAGGCCAACCCAGAAAAGTTTAACAGTCGCTTCCGCAACAAGATGTTCTATGCAGGGGTGAGTGTCCCGCTTGACTTATTGCCCACTCAGAAACTCAGAAACTCAGTGTTATTAACACACGAAGAAAAAAACGTAGTCTTCTACAAGAATCACGGCTGAGAGGGAAGCAACATTGGAGTGAAGGAAGGGAATGAGGGGAAAAGACAGGAGGATAAGGAGAGATGGAGCGGCTGGACGACACAAACATCAGGAAATACAGATGAAGGGAAAACAGATAAACTAATCACTGCCAGAGTGAGGAGGTTGGGATACAGCAGGGTGTGTCTCTGAGTCTTACTGTCGGCCGTAAATACTTATTAAAGTCCTAAATCCAATCGGAAGTGGTGTTATCTGCCACCATGCAACGCCAAAGTTAATTGCAGTTTCTAGTCATTTTAGATTAATAATGAATCTGCATCCCGTGTGCTATAGTAAACATGATGATGTCATGGTTTATTATAATTATAATAATAATGAATTTTGACATTTTGCACTTTTATAGCATCGTGTAGTTTGTCGAAGTTTTGATTAGAAGTGAAATTCATCATATTTTCCAGCTTCTTCTCAATGTTTGTTTTGAATTTTTGTCTGATTCAAATCTGAAGTTGGACAGACATCTTATAACTTTTTCTAAACTCACAATATTCTATAAAGAATGAGAGATGTGAGGAATAAAGGACGGGTGGGAGTCTGAGAGGAAGCATGTAGGGGAGTTATCTCTATTTAATGAGGGAAATGTAATGAACTGTAATTCTGTTTGATTGGGTTCGCTTTTCTCTCTGTGTGTGTGTGTGTGTGTGTGTGTGTGTGTGTGTGTGTGTGTGAGCACGTGGTTGTGTCTTTGCAGGCTGCGTTCTCAGATTTCCTACAGAGAAGCTCGAGGGATTTGTCCAAGCACGTCAGAGTGGTGGTGAGTGTTAACACACACTGTCTCTCTCTCTCTCTCTCTCTCTCTCTCTCTCTCTCTCTCTCTCTCTCGATCTGTATCGCTTTCCATGTCGACATGTCTAAGCAGCAGGTCGGCCGGGTGATTAAAAGGTCCGTCCTTCAACTCCTCTTTTAACATCGGCCATGCTGAAGTGTCCTTCAGTGGATCCTGACCAGAGCTGCTGACCTCCGTACTGTTATTAGAGCAGCAGCTAACAATCATTCTCGTTAACGATTCGGCTTGTTTGTTTTCTTGATTTTACATATATATATATATATATATATATATATATATATATATATATATATATCAAACACAATACTGATCTACTAAACTACTACATACAACCATCGTTGGTTGTAGTGTTTTCATGGGATCCTTGCTGAAGAATTCCTACATTCATGCCTCGGGTCCATGCTTCTCCTCACTCTTTGGCGCTGCCACAACTCCTCGAGGGTGTCCTTGAATGGGAGAGTCTGACGTGACCTTTGACCTGTAATCAATCACTTTCCACCCACTTCACATCACAACAGGTTTTTAGAGCGAGAGCATTCAAACTGAGAGTGAGAACTGAGAACTGAGAGAGAAGCTTCAGAAGGATCTGAGAGTGAAAATGAGTTGTTTTGTACAGCAAAAGAACTTCATGCCTGAGGGCATACATCTGGTTTTGGTAATAGCTGGTAAAAGACACAGATTTGAACTTTTCCTTTCCTTGTCTCTCTCAGTGCGATGGTACCGATCTAACTCCGAAGATCCAGGAGCTGAAGTTTCAGTGCATTGTGTTTCTAAACATTCCCAGGTCGGTGAATATACAGAGTCCATGAAACTGTGTCTGATATTTATTGGGATCATTTTCATGCCCAAAAATTTGACCTATTTATAATTTCTCAGTGTTTGGTTGAAGCCATTGCCGTTTTGGTGAACTAATGACGCATAATTTTAAACGTGTGCAGGTACTGTGCAGGCACCATGCCGTGGGGGAACACAGGCGACCACCGGGACTTTGAACCGCAGCGACACGACGACGGCTGCATCGAGGTTATTGGCTTCACCGTGGCCTCTCTGGTGAGATAACAAGGAAATAGAAACAGTGTGGTACGGTCTGATGAAATCGTCATCCCTTCATTTGCCGTAAGTCTCCGCTCTGTCCACCAGGCGGCGCTACAGGTCGGCGGTCACGGAGAGCGATTACACCAGTGCAGAGAAGTCGTCCTCACTACCTTCAAGACTGTACCTGTTCAGGTGAGTGTATTCGCCAAATGATGAGCCCATTGCGTGAATTTACTTTGTTATTATATACAGATTATAGCTACAGAAAGTAAAACAACATGAGATGAAACTACATTTTTGCAGCAGAAGAATAATATAGTTAAGATTTAGAACGTGTGCACAAGTATAGTTACGTATTATACCTTTAAAAGATATTTAAGACCATGTTTTTACCTGTTCTCTCTCTGGAAAAGCATGTTTATTTCCCTCAAACAAAGTATTGTATCGTATCGTATTGTCACTGATAATAAAAATGACCAAACAATGAGTTGTCCTCGTGTGTCTCTGTTTGTTTGCATGTAGGTGGACGGTGAGCCGTGTCGACTGGCTCCCTCCACGCTCCGCATCTCCCTCCGAAATCAGGCCAACATGGTCCAGAAGAGCAAGAGACGCACCTCTGTGCCCCTGCTTAACGAGTGAGTCACACACACACACACACACAGAGAGAGGAACTAGGCCAGCGGTGTTGTAAAAGCCCGGGTTTGCACTGAGTGAGTCATACGATCTGTTTAGTGGGAGCTGGCATTCACTCCTCTCTGTGTCCCACATCTCCCGTCAGCTCGCCAAACCACAATCAAAGGACGGATGTTCAATTTAATCAAGACGAAAGCACCGGGGAGACCGGCTGACATGTTATACTGTGTGGTTATGTCGGCTGAGAAGGAGAATGAACCGAGATCTTTATTGATTTCTATCGGGGATGAAGCAGCAGAGCTGTATTGCGGTGCAGTGGTGGGAGAAGTACTCCGATCCTTTTAGTTAATTAAAAGTAGGAATACCGCAGTCTTAGAATACTCCATCGTGAGTAGTCCTGAATTAAAAACGTTACTTAAAGGTACAGTGTTATAGATCAACCCCTCTGCTCACTCCTCCCTTTGTAGACACACACTGTCCCTTTAAGAACAGTACCTGTATTAAATGTATAATAATAACAAAACAATGCTTATATCTGGCTACTAACACTCCTCCATTCCCTGTAGCACTAATACTTATCCATGTATATCTTTGTCTTTATATATGTGAGTCTACCAGCTACAGTAAATACGTGCACAGTAAATAACAATAAGTACTTCATAGTTACTGCAGTAACTATTGTCTCTGCTTGATGTACTGCTGCTCTACTCTGTGTATCAATGTTTGTCCACTTATCTCTGTCCCTCTTCTGTTCTCACCAACACATGTCTGTGATCGTTTTGATTATTTATTACTTTCATTTGTTTACTTTCTCTCCTCTCCTTCCTTTGTTTCCTTCCTCTCCTCTTGTTCATTTCATTTTTTTCTCCTCTGGTCTCCTTCTCCTGTCCTGTCTCCTCCTCTCTTTTTTATTTTCTCTCCTCATCTCTTTTTCTCCTCATCTTGTCTCTTCTCCTGTCTTCTCCTCTTGTTTCCTTGTCTCTTCCCGCTCTTTCCTTCTCCTCTTTTCACTCTCTTCCTCTCCTCACCTCCTCTCCTCCTTCTCTCTTCCTCTCCTTGACTCACCAACTTTCTTCCTCCGCTCAAACTATACTCTCCTCCTCCTCCTCTCCTCTCCTACTCTCCTCCTCTCTTCCTCCTCTCTTCCTCTCATCATCTCCTCTCCACCTCCTCTCATCATCTCCTCACCTTCTCTCCTCTCCTCCATATGTTTCTCCTCTCCTCCTCACCTCCCTCCCCCTCCTCACGTTCCTCCTCTCTTCTCTGTGTGTGTGTGTGTGTGTGTGTGGCCGTAGTATTCAGAAGGTGTGTGCAGCAGATCTGCGCCGCCTCTCTGCTCCCCCCGACTCCTTCTCTGTGTAAGTACCTGAGCCCTCTGTCACTGAACGTCACTGTGTGTTTGGGAACGAGTGAGGGAGCGAGTGAGGGGACGAGTGGACGAGTGAGGGAGCGAGTGAGTGGACGAGGAGTGAGTGGACGAGTCAATGCTGTTGTTGTCAACGTTTGTCTGTTTGGGTTCAACCAATATTTAATTCCATGAAACTGAAGCCCTTTTTTCTCCTTACAATAAGTTTGCATTTGTCAAATATTTTTGACAACTTTGCATTTTACAACTTTTACGTTTTCGACCAAAATCTGATTTCTCCTTTTATGCAAACTTTTATTAATATTTGTACTCAGTAGATTCTTTAAAGGTGTTGAATACTGACACAAAGGGAAAAATATTTGCAGCATCAACATATTTGTGTCATTGTTGACTTCAAAAACGTATATTGGTCGAACCCAAGTTGAGTCGTATCGTGTTGAATGTGAGTTTTTGTTTTTATGTGGAGAGAGAGAGAGAGAGAGAGAGAGAGAGAG